AGTTTTGCTCCGAACGAAAAAGGTGAAAATCGATAGCACGCAGGTCACATCGATGCTACGAAATCCTTGAAAGCTCCGAATCGCGCAATCACGCAACAACGCGAATGCAACTTACATCGCGGTCGATTACACGCGATATCGTAAAACTTTGGAACAGTGGCGCGCGTACGGCAGAACACGGTAAAATGCATGGTAACAGTTGACACAGTTTTTGCTAGGCACTCTGGTATGGTAGGTCAGTGAGTTCGCAACAAAAACGAGCACTATGGCCGCCGGTGTCAGCGCTTGGTGTCAGACCGCAACAAAACCAATGCCTCGAAAACAGTTTCGCCTAAAGTGAGCGATGAAACGAAACACGCTTCCGTTGATAACGACCGCTTCAAAACAAAATACCGAGGCGCAGGAATATCACAAGCCACTTGCAGCTGTCTCCGCCACTCGAGCCTCTAAAGGACTCTATCGAGCGTCCCTCTTTCTTCTCTTTCTCTTTCTCCCTCTCTCCCCCTCTCTCTCTCTTCTCACCTGTAATTCATCCACGCAGTTTGCACCGGAGGGAGCTCGAATTTATGTCTAGGTCGTCCTGTTGAGAAAACTGCGCGCGATAAATTTGCCCTTCTTAAGTGCTTTAAACGTCACTCGACGCTAGATTAAGTTGCGCATGAAACAAAAGGAAGCTTCGAGCAGCCGAGCGAAGGTAAAATGAGAATGAGTAAACAGAAAAGCTTTAGTCGTTTATTTTTATGGTCGTTACGCGTTTATAGTAATTTTGAAAAGTTATCGACGGGACGGTATGATTAGTTTTCAATATCTTCAAAGGGATTATTATAGCAATTCAACAGACAGAACTGTATTTGGACGAGCAGTTCGTGTAACTGGAATTCACGTAAGAAATAACGTAGAGAAATACGCTGTCAACTGTACGTATTAGAAGAGCTATCGATACTTCGTATAAATCGAATGCTTCTCGCGGTTTCCATTTCCTATTTATTTTATTCTAAATTTGTTATTTCATACGCGTCGCACGTGTCGTATGTCGTAGAGTACCGAATAAAGTTATTTTTGTGTAGGTTGAAGTTAGCTCCAATTCGAACCGGAGGGTTTCAAACTTGGAAATCTGTGAAATTACGGCAAAAGGAAAAAGAAATGTAAACGGTCTCTCGTTTTTCTCAAAAATATGCAAATCTTTCTTCGATACGATATTGTTTTAAGTCCGTGGATCCGCTTAAGATTCGCTAACTTGCTGGACTTTCCGAGAATTCCTGGAGAAAATTGAACTATTTCTCCGCGTTGTCATTCTCTATGCTCTTTCAACGGGCTGCCTTTCAGATATTTCCAGGTCTTTAGGATTTAAGACAGCCCCGGCTTGTCGAGTGTGTCCTTACGATTGTTATTTCAAGACCGTCCAAAGCAATCGTGTTCGTGTTATTTCAGGACCTCGGCTTCCTGGCTTCGGTCTCCTAGAAAACCTCGTGATATTTCCACCATTCGAGTCTTTGTTTGCCACAGAGATATTTTCGTTTCCAAATCGGAAGTGGAAGTGAATGTCGCATTATCCTGTAATAAATTATTCCTTCTCTCTTTATGGTCGCGATATTTCATAAATTTTGTATTATACAAATAGGAGATTATTGGTATTAATTACTTAATGATTAATTATTAATCATCTTGTACTATTCTATTATATCATATGACGTTTTATACAAAATTCGGTCAATTTCATTCGAGGGTGAAGAATTCAATTTCGAAATAGACACGCGTGTATTTCTCCTTCGTTACGTTCTCCTGCCCGAAAATTCAACGCTGCCTGAGATTCTTGGATCACGTACTACGCATTGAAATAATTTCTGAAATCCGATTACGACGTGCGTACTGTACGCACGGTTTGAACGTGGCAGTGCACCTTAATCCTACGAGCGCGTCATGCCGTTTAGCACCATGTATTTGCAGGTAATCGGATCGATCTTACGGGGTCACGTAGGCAGATTTCAATTTTATCGCCTTTCCAGTATTCCCGTTTGAATTAGTCATTAACATTTGCCGCTACCAACGCATACAGCTGTCTTGAAATACGTTGCTTCGCCTTACAGATTACGTATATTCTCTTTTATCAGAAATGTCTTTACATCAAATAATAACGTTTCTTCTAACGCACTGTCCATTGTTCCTTTCGTCTTTCCATTATCCTCGGTTGAAACGCGTGAAATGAAACGCTCGACAAAATATTTAAAAAATGTCGATTAGAGAAGATTGAAAACTGTTTTAAAGTATTGTAACAGCGCAACTAACTGGAATAATTGGATGCACGATAAGCTTCTTGGTTAATACGATACAACTAATTATTATTAAGTGTACTTTACCTAGAATGTTTGATTACATAGTCGGTATTACGGCGTGCGTGATCACTATTAATATCATTGACCATGCAGAACCGTTCGTCAGAATAATATAGTGGAACACAGAGCTCGTGTTACGATCGAATTAACAACTATTAGTGATAATTACGATAATTGACGACATAGTTGTTGATGTAGTCAGTGATTAGGAAGAAACGATAGTAATTCAACTACCATTGCTGCGCGATTATATATCCTACTCTCGTATTTTGATATCCGAATTCGTTAGATGAAATTACACTTAATCGCTAATGGAATTCATTATCTATCCAGACTTTTGTTCTATTCTATTTACTATTTACCACGTTTCCGCGATTAAGCGTTTATTATACTCGTATCTCTTGGAAATTACTTTGTCTTTCTCTTTTTTTTTTTTTTTTTTGTTTTTGATACTGTCTAAATATTTTATTCCGCTATCACTATGGTACAAAGTAACAAAAAAATGTAACAAAGGTACTGAATTTGAAATTCGTTTTTAAAATCCGACTAAAATACACGACGAAACCACAGATAATCGTAAAATTTTTAATTGCTCTTTCAAAAATACAAACTTGATATGCTTTTATTAAAAAATAGCTGGGCAAAACCCTTTGCAGAATGAACATCATTGTACAATTTTTATTGTTGCGTTACAATCACAGACCTATCGTTTCGCTGAATATAGTTGCAACAAATCAGATCAAGTTACAATCGACGATATTGAAAACTATTGCGTCGAAGAGGAATTTATCAACTTGTTATTAGTAATACTGGATAAGATACGTGTTAATTAAAATTGACGAATTATCGAAAGAAGCTGAGCAATGCTACAACGAGAAACTTACACGCCACACACGTGTACGTTATATTCCTATACACACTCGCATCAGTCAATCAATCATGTCAGCAGCAGAGCTTGCTGCACAACGTGTATTGGTTTTTTCCCTCGAACCACACTTTGCCTATCCTGCACCGTCATCTTATTTATAGCATTTCAATCTCGCTTCTCAATAATTGACGCACACTATAATTCAGGTCTACTGTGTATTTTTCTACGTAGCTGACGAATATTAACCTGCCGTTCTCGATGAAACTCTATTTTAGGTCAAGCGGTATTTCGACATTGATAGATAAAGTGCGATAATTGCTATTATACTCTTACATGCTCCTTGATAACGATTACTCTACTTTGATTATTTTATATATTTTTTGGATATTACGTATGTGCATTTTTTGCGCTTTTGAAACCTTCCAACTTGCCATGAACGCATACAAATCCTCGGTCTACTTGTAAGTTACGATCTTGTAGATTATTTTCTTCGGAATTTATCAGTCTGATTTTACAATTTTAATAGCCATGTATACCTAGCGTAAGTGTAATAAGTATCCAGTAACTCACAAACGTCGGTATAAGTAGAATTTCGCTCTTTTCGCGATGTTCGCTGCTGCAATGCAAAGTACATTGGCGCGTGAATCATGCAACAGAAATGGCCGGTAATTCATCGGGCCGTTATGTAGGGCGACGTAAATCGAGAAGATTGTGACAATGAATCAGCGCAGCTTTATGGCTCTCCATGTAATTAAGTCGTATCCGATAAGCATTAAGTATGCAAACGCGAAGCAAATCCACATTTCGTGCCACTATTCGCCGCTTGTAATCGGATCATCCCGCCTTGAATCCTACGCGATTCGTTCGACCCTTGTAAATTTTCCCCTTCGATCTTAATTCCACATTCTTTTTCGTTCATTTTCCATGGTTGCACGTGAAATGTCGGTTTCCCTGAATTTCAGATTCCTAAGCTTAAACGTACCAATAAATATCACACTTTAAATCTGAGCAGCAAGTAAGCACGGTAAATATTGAATTTCAGATGATGAATCTGATATTTGATCGTCAGGGATTCCACTAAAGGTTCAGCTATTAGGTTGTCCGAAAAGTGTCTTTCTTTTACAGACACGTCTTTTACAACGACGTATCTTTATACAAACATAAAACCTAAATTGTCGAACGTTGTGATTTTTATTTTGATAGAACAAAATGGATCCTTCCTTATAAAACGAAAGAAACTTTTTGGACGACCTAACAGTTTCTCATGAAAGTATACGAACGGTTAGGAGAGAATTTTTTGATGAATATGTACATTATACGGAACGTTCGGAGATTTCGTTACAGAGCTAATAAATTTTAAGATATCCTGTACAATAAACGAAAGGTTTCTAAGAGTGTTAGAATACTTTGGCCAACCACTCTATCTACATATGCTTCGTTGCCCGTTGTGTCAACTCGTTTATTGAATTATGTTGCACGAGCTTCAAATGTACCTAGTTCATAATGTAAAGCTACATAAGTACTTGCTTGAGACGAATGTTGCAAACTAGTTGGCCAAGTGGACTCTCTATACTTGGATAATCCTTCCAAGCCTGTGAACATCCTGTTTACTTTGATAGTTGGAAGTTGGAAGTGTAGTAGTGGCGTTACAAGTCATTGGAGATATTAGGTCGAAGGATAAATAAATATTTATCTCTATACGTATTAACGCTTCTTTTTATTAAAATCAATTCCGTAAAATTCTTAATTATGGTTACTAATTTTCTCTAATTAATCAGTTTTTTCCCCATATTTTTCAGGGAATTGATTACGTGTCTGCTTGGAAAAGGATCCGTATTAATAGACTCACGGAATGGTAAGTTCCCACGGCTTTTAATTTCGCGAAGTAACGAGGCTTTAATTCATAAAGGGTTGCCTCCAACTGGCTGGGACTTTAACGAGGACATTAAAGTGGTTTCGAGTCATGCCGGAACTGGTACGCATTCCGTCCTTCAGGGAGGCTGCCAGCTGTTAAACATTGCACGGAAGAATTTTTTAACATGACGAACGAACTCCTTTAATTTCATGTAATGAAATGCGTGAACTGTTACTCCAAATTAAAACTGCTTCCGCGTTATCTCGCGAATTGTTAGCAGTTTCTGCCGCTTTTGAATCTCCTCTAGCTCGCCGTTCCGCTTTATTTTCACGAAATTCTAGTTGGCGAAAAAAATTGTCCCCGATGTTATTATAAAAATGTTCGCTTTCTCGAATTACCCACCCTATTTAAAAATTCATGTATTTACACGCTCGATATTTCAAGGTTTATCGATCCTATCAATTTTATATCGTCTTTAAAGTTAGCAAAAGTTACGCGGGCTATATCGAAGCTCGTAACTTTTTCTCCTAGTACGTTATACCTTTTCTGCGGTACGCCGGTCGAGAAACAAGTTCATTGGAGAAACAAAATTTTTATCTCGAGTTTTTATTTCATTATATTCGCGAAATGATTACGAACTCGTGACAAGAAGTTTGATGAAAGCAGCCCGTAACTCGGCGCAAGTTAGAGAGAGGCTGCCTAGAGATGAAACCATCTAGAAATTAACCTACTTAAAACTACTAACGATAGATCGTAATTCTTGCTTTCTCAAAGTGACACCGTTCCTATCGAATATAAACTTCTCCATTAATGCTTCGGTACATTGATTAACGAACGAGTATACACTGTATACAACATAACGACCGCTAAAAGAGAGCGTCGCGCCGGAAATGGAAAGTTTCAACGTTATTAAGAAAATTACATTAGATAGAATTACGGTGATGAAATATTCGTCCTTCTCCTTCGATAAGCTCTGTACTTTGCGCTTTATTCGTTTTCCAGTGAAAACCATTTTCAGAGGTAGGAATAATTGGCTTGGTAATAACATATAACGCGATTATGTAGATACAAGGTGTGTAAAACAGAGGTAAATGACGTTATTTATTTAAATGATGTTAGAACGCAATAAAAATAACGATTTATGAAAATGATAATTTCGCCTGGTTGTCAATAAAGAGGTACAGATTTGGAAAATGATGCAGTGCTATTAGTACTTTGCTATTTAATCTGATATATTATGGCTTGTAATTAATAATACGTAACCTGTTCCATTCTTCTTATTCCTATGGCCATGGTTTTAATTTATAGTTATTAAAAAAGCGATACAATGTATTTCATTCGTGAGATATTTATTTATTTATTTTTAATTTTCTCTGTGGCGCTTTATACCTATCAGCACGGTATTCTAAAATGCTTCGGGCGGTGATGACGCTTAGACAGACAGTAGGAAATAATTTGCGCCACGTGTATCCGTAAAATACGACTCTAGAGATGCGCGCAGCTTACCGTTGCGAATCGATGCTTATCAACAATTGTCGTTAACTATGTCGTAACTTGGTATTCCCAAACGTTGGGCACCAGTAAATTACCAATTGCTACGCATTAGTGACGTAAACTTCTCCCACGGGCGCATAGAAGTGCTCCCCTTAGCGAACAATAATGAGGCCAATGAATGCGACAGTAGCACCTTGCCAATGTGTTCCTGCTGTTATTTTCATTTTCTTTGAATACGTAATTTAACCAGTGGCACACTCGCTACTACCCATCGAGCGATTAAAAAATTGAAAAACGTGAAGCATAAAACCGTATAAATGTCCAAAGAACCAAATTTTTCGATTAATTTACAATCTAATCGTCTTCGTCACCTTCCGTTGCACGTCCCTAATTCAATTGGATTCATACTTTATAATGGTAGCTCGTTTACTAGAAGACACGATGTGGCCACGAACACCGGTTTCGCAAATAGCAGTTGAAATTACACGCGGTCGTGCAATTACAAGGGTTAAGACGTTTCCTGTAACTGTGTTCTTGCAGTCAGTCGTATAGCAGCAACCTCTTAAAGGTGACGAACAATTAGTTTCGACCGTTCGGATGTTGATTCAACGTTACGTACCGAAGTCGGTCTTCTTCCATTCAGCCTGCGACATCGACGTCTACCTGTTTCTTTCTCGCTTGTTCCTTTCTTTCCCATTTCCCCGTATCCTCTATTTTACTCCGTTACTCTTTCTTCGTGCAGCTTCGACCGCCTTTTCCATCGGCTTGACTCCACCGGAAGTACGCCGAGGCTGACCCACATTCGACAACAATGGCCACACTCAACTGGCTGCACTCGCCTCAATCGTCGTAGCCTAGGCAGAAGTTGCCTCGTTTCGGTCTCGATTTTCCAAACGACTTTCCATTCTCTCTTCCTCTCTCTTTCTCTCCTTCTATTTCTTTCTTGTCCCTCGTTTTCACTCCCTAAGGCTACTCGCATTCCTATTTTTCAATAATTTCAAGCGCGCCTCCACCTAATTTCAATCTTTTCTTCAACGGCAACGAACTTCCTCCGCTTGTTGAAGAATTGATTTCATCCTGGGTCGCTGGAAATCGGAAGTTCCACTTTAAAGCCATTCATCGTGTCCGCGGGAAGTTTTCTGATCGATGGCGTTGCTTATTACCTATGTAGATGCACGGACTACCCGCAATTAAAATTGAAAAGATGTGATCTAAATTTAATAGATGATATTTCGATGAAAATTGCTACCAGGTTGTTAGTCGGTCGCCGTGCTTTAACATTCATTAGCGATGACAGTTACTTTTCTGTGAATCAATCATTTTGTGAACGATGGTTGACACTTGACGTCGAATCTATCAACTTGTTAGGCTCGATAGACGAATTTTGTATTCTACCAAATGATTTTATATCACGGAGAGAAATAGTGGATTTTCTTAATATTGAAAACTATGTCTTCTCTACGTTCGATTAAAGGGTTTCTACGATCGTTCGCATTATCGGTTAGCATTTCGATCGATTCATAATAAAAACGAGAATAACAATTCTTCTCGATACGCAATACTCGTTTCCCTTGGTGTAAAACTTTTATCGTGATGATCGATAGTCGTCGTATTATCGCTAATTTATCGAACGGAGTTGTCATTCATTTTGTCAAGATAATGGACGTTTCATTGTACTCGGTTATGCTTGATACTATACCGCATATTTAACTATATCGTTAACGTGATTTTACTTTTATACTATTTTTAGTTAATATAAGTTTACTATATAAAGTTTGTAAAATATTTTCTCAACTCTCAGTTTTCTCAAATGTTCTCTCTCGATACTAAATGCCATTGTAGAAAAAAACATTCGGCGTAACGAAGAATCTTCGATGTGTATTCTATCGTAGTATATATTATTTACATCTGACACACACTCACACACGCTCTTTGTACTTAATTTTCAATTAGCAATTTAGTTTAACGAGTCTGGAAAACGGTTACAGCTGTTCAATAAAGCAAGAAAATCGACGATATAGTTTCACACCTGCATTAAACATTTTTGAAACATAGAAGAGGAGAATGCCGAGGATTTCGTGGTAATACATCGGTGTGTCGAGCGCTTAACATCTTCATCCTCTAAATTATCCTTCCCCACTTCTCCATTCTCATTTTCCCTTTCATTGTTCCGGGTACTGTTATTCCCTTTCGTTCTTTTTTGTTTTCGTTCCATTCTATTCTACATGTCTCTTCTTCTTCTTTGAACTTTTCATCTTTTTCCGTTTTATCTATCGCGTACGTACCCGTTCCTTTCCATTCCGCCCCTCGTTTTCTCTTTTATTCTCTTACCACCGTTAGGTTAAACCTATCGCTTCTTGTTCATTACTCTACCATTGCCTCATACCATCGCTACTTGCCGCAATTCTCACAGCACATTTTTATCAAACAACGATAATCCAAAAATTTTGGTACACTTATGGTATACTCGTACCTCTCGAACCTTTCTTTTGCTACACGACGCTACTCATCGACACCATAGAAAGGCCCTGTCGCAACTCACCAAAGGCCAGTCTTGGTGTATTCTCACGTGGATCAGCGACGATCAGCGAACGATCAGCGAACAGCAGTTAATTTCTCATAACCTTTCGTAACGGTAGACCGCAGTCCTGGTACACCCGCGGCGTATAATCTTCGTTCGTTTGCGCACGAACGCAAGGAACAACATTTGGAACGAGACAGGGACGCGGTCGAATACACGTGCTGATGAAGCACGGTGTAGCGTTGATTAAAGAACTGCTGGTGTATTTCGCAGACGCGGACGATGTTCCGAAAATAACATTCTAAGCGTTCTGAAATACGTCGTGTTGGGTAGAGAGGCAGTAAATTATCGCGGCGAGAACGCGGCGTTATTCGGCAACGAGAGATACCCGTTTCAGGTAAAGCAAACGCAGTCAATTTCACAATCTAGTCGATCTGCCGGTGACTCAGCTACGAGTCCGCGTCGTTTCGTCTTATCAACGGTATTTTTCGCGCGCTTCGAGTGTCGTCGAATTAAATTTCACATCATACGTCGTAAATTGGCTGGCTTCGCCCTGTTACCGCGTCCATTCGGAACGCGAATTTATCGTTCCATTAATTTGACATTTAATTTTCCACGATAACGACGGCGTTCGCGCAATTTCTGTCTGATGCCCGGTTGCTGGCGGCCACTTCTGAATTACTCCTACCGAATTTGTCGCCGACAATTCGTTGGCCGTGCAATTTCGTTTCGCCGTATTATCGATGTAGCCTCCGCGCCCTGGAATACAGCTGACTCTTTGAATTTACCTTGGCTGCCCGCTCCACGACGCCCCCAACCCTTCACCTCGTCCCCTATACTCCCTTTCCCCTAAACCTTGCTCTTCGTCCCGCTTGTCACCCGGCAAATCCTCGTTTTATGATTACGATCTTTCGCGCGGACTTTCGCCATTCTCGTTAATTATCGCGGCCTGCGTACTTTCCGTGACACACATTTCCATCGCGTC